AGAAATGACTACATAATGATTCTTGCTTTTCCCCACCAAGGTTTTCTTCCATATCTCTAAATCCATCCATATGTGCAATATTCAGTGGCAGCCCAATGATTTTGGATCACGAAGCAGAAAATTCTTTAGAGTAAGAGTGCAAGAACATCAAATAAAAAAGCGATCCATTGCTCTTCCATGTCTCTAAACAAATTGTACTCTGAGGCAACTCCTGCTCAGCACTTGGACCAGCTCTGTAAAAGCTTCTGGTGGCAAAAAAAAACACTTTTTAAAATATTTCTTCCACCGAGAAGACAAAACCCCCAAAATAAGAACAACAGCAGCAGCGGAAAGAAGAATTGCGCACTGTCAGGGAGTTGAGGAATCAAATGTACCCCTTAAACCAGAAACTCCAGAATAAGCCATATTCTCTTACTGTGGTCGGCCAAGCTAAGCCGCAAAATAAATGGTGCCAATAAAGCTCCAATTAGACCCTCTTTTTGATCTCAGTCAGAGGCCTTTGAAGTCAACTAGACTCTTAAAATCCCCACTGAGTGAAAAGCAGGATGGTCTCACCTCTTGGTGCAGGAGAGCAGCCTTTCTCCAGGACTCTGGAGAGCTTCTCTCCTCCTGTGGTTTCTTCTGTGCTATTGTGAGAACAGTGCAAGAAAAGGGTTTGGATGGAAATCTCTTTCCTCTTTCCGAAAGCAGAAGTGGCTATGGTTCTCACAAGTGAATTGCAACATCCTCCTTCAATGAATTTTAAAAATCGATGGGGTTCGATTGGGTGACATAGGAGACAGAGGTGATATTCAGAAGGTTCTGACCAGTTCTGGAGAACCAGTAGTGGAAGTTTTAATTAGTTCGGAGAACCGGCAAACCCCACCTCTGGCTGGCCCCGCCCCCATCTCTTCTCTGCCTCCCATTGAGTCCCAGCTGATTGGTTGGGTCTTCTTTGGTTGCCCTGCACAGGAGAACGGAGCTGGAAAGCAGGTTAGCGGGGTGAGGAGCAGTGGTGGGATTCAATTTTTTTTTTTACTACCGGTTCTGTGGGCATGGCTTGGCGGGCATGGCAGGGGAAGGATACTGTAAAATCTCCATCAGAGGTGGGATTTGCCAGTTCTCTGAACTACTCAAAATTTCCACTACCAGTTCTCCAGAGCCGGGGTTTTTGCAGTAACCTTCCCCTGCCATGCCCACCAAGCCACGCCTACCAAGCCACCCCCACAGAACTGATAGTAAAAAAAAATTGAATCCCACCACTGATAGGAGATTATTCATGTTTGTGGGGAGTAAGAATGTACCCTCAATGCACATCAGATCAGATTATAATAGTGATTTGTTTTGGGAGTTCTTTGGAATCGGGTTTTATTGCAAATACTTATTATTGCAAATACTTCCAAAATAATCAGTGTGGAGAACAATGGCCAACCACATGCCACAACGGAGCCCCAAAATGTATGTTGATGAGTGACAAATTTGTTAGGGGAGTTTTGCCCCATTTTACAACTTTCCCAGCCACGTTTGTTAAGTGAGCCACTGCAGTTGTTAAATGAGTACCCTGGTTGTTAAGTGAATCTGATTTCCCCAGTGACTTGGCTTGTCTGGTGGTCGCAAAAGGGGCTCACGTGACTCACCAGGACACTGCAAAACTGTCCTAAATGGGAGTCGGTTGTGGATGCTGCAATGGTCATAATGTGAAAAATGGTCGTAAGCCACTTTTTTTTCAGTGGCCTTGTAACTTGGAACGGGCATTAAGTGGATTGTTGTAAGTAGAGGACTACCTGTACGTATATCCATTAGACATGTAAGGTGATTTTGATTCAATAATGTGAATCAACAGAATACCCTATTATCACCAGGCTTGAGATTTTGGGCTTGGACAACCTTGAACTATGCCGCCTACAGTTGAACTTAAGTGTAGCACACAAAATTGTCTGCTACAATGTCCTACCCGTCAATGACTACTTCGGCTTCAACTGCCACAATACAAGAACACACAACAGATGCAAACTCAATGCAAACCATTCCAAAATCGATTGCAGAAAGTACGACTTCAGCAACAGAGTGGTCAATGCCTGGAATGCCCTACCTGACTCCGTTGTCACATCCTCAAACCCCCACTCCTTTAACCTCAAGCTATCCATTATTGACCTCACCCCATTCCTAAGAGGTCTGTAAGGGGCGTGCATAAGTGCACCATCGTGCCTCCCGTCCCTGTCCTATTGTCCCCATTTATTGGTACCTATTTCCTGTATTCTTAGTCATGTTTATACTTATACCTATTATTTTGTAAGTGATTGACAAAATAAAAATCAATCAATCAATCAATCTAGTTAGCTAACTATAGTTCCATCAAAAGCCCATGATTCTCGAGGAACAGGAAGCTCTTACAGGTTAATCTTGGTTGACTTACTACCTCAATGGAGCCCAAACTTTATGTTGATAAGTGAGACATTTGTTAAGTGAGTTTTGCAACTCTTCTTGCCACGGTTGTGACATGAATCACTGCAGCTGGACTCCCGGTTTGAGCTTCTTCGGCAACAGACCGAAACCTTGTTTCTGCGAGGCTTCGATGCGTGCTTGCCGCTGGAGCACCCCGAGCTGGCTGGTTTCAGGGGCTAAGCCACCCCGTAGAGGTGGTGAAGAAGGGGAAGACTGCCTGCAGGGTTGAGGAGAGCCACATCTCTCCTCCCCAGATGGCCATTACTCCCTTTCCCGAATGCAGTTGTAGCAGTGGTCAGAAATGGCCACCACAACGAAGAACTCAACCAGAAAAGAATGTGCAGGAGGAAGATAAGAAGAGAAAGTTTTGGTTGACCGGGTCAAACAGCAAAAGCAACAAATAAGGTACCCTGGAATTGAAACTATTAAAAAAAAACAATAACATTGTTCCCTAAGAAGATTTTGAAGCTGCGAAGGAGAGAGAAAAGGGAAAGGATTTGGTTTTTTTTCTCCTCTTCCTATACTGACAGCTAAGAGACTTAAGCAAGAAATTGGAAAAAAATCCACTTTGACATTAATAGGCATTTAATGCTGAAAATAAAAAGTCAAAGGGATAATAAAGATTAAATTTGGACTGAGGGCACCTTAAGTCTTTGAGGAGTTCTCCTTCAAAGGAAACCTCATCTGGTAAGTGTTTTATGCTCAGGGAAGCATAAGGAAGCAACCCCAAATCCCAGTGCCTGAAGGAAAACATCTGGATCACACCTTTCCTCTAAAATCCTTTCTAAAATCCTGAAGCCAGAGGTGGTATTCAGCAGGTTCTGACCAGTTCTGGAGAACCAGTAGCAGAAATTTTGAGTAGTTTGGAGAACCAACAAATCCCATCTCTGACTGGCCATGCTAACCCCATCTCTTGTCTGAGTCCCATTGAGTCCCAGCTGATCGGTTGGGTCTTCTTTGGTTGCCCTGCACAGGAGAATGGAGCTGGAAAGCAGGTTAGTGGGGTGGGGAGGGAATGGGGATTTTGCAGTATCCTTGCCCTGCCACGCCCACCAAGCCACACCATGCCCACACCAAAAAAATTGAATCCCACCACTGCCTGAAGTGCCTTATTTTAGCTGTCACCTGGCTATAAGGAAGACCCAGTGTGAAATAAGGTGAACCAGTTCCTTAACTCAGTTTTTATTCACCTGGAAATGGCTGGATTTTTTCCATCATGGGAATGTCAAGGATTACTCTCTGAAAAGCATTTTTCATCATCACCGGTTTCGTCTAGAGAAGAACTAATATTTTAGAAAAGTTTCCTGCCAGAGCTGAGGATAATCTGGTGCCGGCTGTATAAGCTTGATCATATGCTCATTAAGTCATAGTCATGTTTTGAAGCAACAGGTTAAGAGTAGAAGATTGTCACTGAAACTGAAAGGTAATTTTGAAGTGGAATCAAAGCTCTAAGCTCTTGTTATCACATTGACTCCACACTCAATGTTGACTCTGCCCTCTTAGGGGACTGGAGGTCAAACCTTATAAAGAACGGTTGCTGGAATTGGGTATGTCTAGTTTAATGGAAAGAAGGTCTAGAGGTTACAGGATAGCAGTGTTCCAATATCTCAGCAGCTGCCACAAAGAAGACGGAGTCAAGCTAATCTCCAAAGCACCTGAAGGCAAGAAGCAATGGGCAGAAACTAATAAGGAGAGAAGCAACCTAGAATTAAGGAGAATGATGGAACAATTAATCAGTGGAACAACTTGCCTCCAGAAGTTGTGGATGTTCCAACACTGGAGGTTTCCAAGAAGAGATTGGACAACCATTGGCCTGAAATGATATGGCTACGGCATTTTCTGCGGTGAGTTGGTCATGAGAAATTGGTCATGGGGATTGGCCATGGGGAGTAGACCCATTCCAAAGCCAACGGAGGAGGCCTGTCTACTGAACCTTTGGTTAACAGCATGGTGGTGCAGCAGCCACAAATTTGTCAAATTTCAATCCTACGGGAATCTTAGGTCCTGGATTTTGGACCTGTTCTGTACATTGGGCCATTTGAGATACCTTAGTTCCAAAATTGTTGCTCTGCGATGCACCATTTCACCCAGTGGAAATATATAGACAAAGAGACACAAATGTTTTAGTAGTATGTATGGATGTAGGTGTATGTCAATTATCTCAGTTTTGATCTGGTAGCCCTATCCTCGTTATACGTGGTGTTTCTTAGGAATGATCAATTAATTACGTATCAAGTCAGTGTCAGTTCTTAGCAACCGCATAGATAAACTTTCTGTCCTTAAGTAGCCCCATTGCCACTATGACCGAATCGATCCCCCTTGCTCCTGGTTATCCTCTTCTTCTCTTTCCTTCCTCCTTTCCCAGCACTGCAGCCTCCTACAGAGAGCTGGACCTTCTTATAATGGGTCTGAAATAGATAATCTGAGACTGATTACTTTGTGGCTTGAATGACAGGCTGATTTGTTTCATTATTTATTTCTTGGCTATCCATGGTTATCTTCAGGAGTCAGCGCTGAAGTCCAAAAAAACGTCAATCCGCTTTCTCTTCTGTTTCTTCCCAAGGACTTTATTTTCTTTGGATGGGTGAATATTCCACATCATCGTCGCTTAAGGCTGGAACGCCTTGACTTTTCGGCTTGAAATCTATGTCAGCATATTGCAATTCAAGTGGCTCTGATCTCCTTGGGGCTGGAGCAGTGGACCCCTGGGGTACTTTGGGCTTCCTTTCTTGAGCAGGTTTTGACTTATTGACCCAGGATAATCTTGGACCCTGAAAGAAAGGAACAATGTTTTGGGAAAAAGAAGGGAAAAACTCATTTTTTTTTCCTTGTTCTCACCTTATTTTCTAAGTGATTGTTGGACACAAACAACAAAGAAATAGGAGATCAATTTGCCCAGGAAATCAGGAGATTCGGGCAGTTCAAATGAGTATAAAGATTTATTGCAAGCTTAAGTTCACTGCAAGAATCTGGCTAAGGGACCATTAAGAGAAATGCACAGAAGTTATGGATAGAAAGGCGTTCAAGGTGGGCTAGGCTTTAGATCTCTTGCGGGCACGAAGGGACTCGTGACTTATGACACATTTGACTCCTCCCTCAGGTTGCAGCCTAGTCATCTCCTACACCTTACCTCATAAGCAACAGCTCAGTCCAGGCTGCAAAATGAGATTCAGAATGTTCAGCCTTAATGAACTCCTTGATGAATAGGGACAGAAAGTTTCCACTACCCCCTGCCTGATAAGGATGTTTAGGGGTGTTTGGTAGCTCAGGAAGGATACATAGCCATGCTCAGTGGTTCATGAGAGATGCTGAATGGATCAGGGTGGGTGTGCTAGAGTGCCACACACTGATCAAGAAGGATGCCAGGGGTGTGTGCAGGGGTATGCAGGAATGAATGGAAATGTCACACAGGTCCCGGGGGATGCAGGGGTGCACAAGAGGTGCTGTGCAATTGAGGAGGATGTGGCCAAGCATGAGAGGAACCCCTTCAGTTGGGAAGATTGTGTGAGGGTACACAAGTGGCTGGTGCAGCATAAGCTCAGAGGGGACGGGAAGGATGTGGGGAACACTAATCTCTGTGATACGTGATCTTCTCTACCGGCTTCCCCATTGACTTTCTGGGGAAGCCAGCAGGGAAGGTTGCAAATGATGAACACATGATCTCAGGGTGTTTGGCAACCCGTCATAAGTGCAAACAGGTTGCCAAGGATCCAGGATTGTGTTCATATGATCACAGGGGTGCTGGGACAAGCCATAATTCAGATAAATTCAGTTGTAACTATCATTCATTCAGCCATTCTGTAACTTCAAACGGTCACTGAACAAATAGCTGTAAGCCAAGGATTACCTGTATTCTTTATTCTCCCTTCCTGAGAGTGGCTTGATGGCAGCATATTTAAGATAGGAGCGGGGAAAATAACTGCACTCGACAGATTGACATATGGCACACAGAAGTGTCAATGCCTCAGTTTCCTCAAGATTGGGTTAATTTAGGCCCCGGGCAACATTTGGGATCTCAGTGGCATAAGAATCATGCCCCAAAGAGGTTGGAACTGAAAAGAAGTAGATTTTTTTTAAAAAATAGATGTCTTTTTCTTTTAATTAGCTCATTCCAAACCTAAAGGAATTTACACAAAACACTTTACATTTTTTAAAAATACCAGGAATCTATCTGATTTCAGAAAAGGCTTTATTTATTTTATTTATTTGGTTTGTCAATGGCTTACAAGATAATAGGTATAAGTAAAAATATAGTTATGAATACAAAATAAAAAAAATAAAAGAAACACTAGGACAGGGACAGTAGGCACATTGGTGCGCTTATACACGCCCCCTACAGACCTCTTAGGAAAGGGGTGAGGTCAATAGTAGACAGTCTAAGGCAGTGGTAGTCAACCTGGTCCCTACCGCCCACTAGTGGGCGTTCCAGCTTTCATGGTAGGCGGTAGGAGTTTTGTCCAGGGGTGGGATTCTACCGGTTCGCACCTATTCACTAGAACCGGTTGTTAATATTCTAAGCAGTTCGGAGAACTGGTTGTTAGAAGAAATTACTGGCCTAATCCTGTAAGGAAGGCAGGAAGGAAACATTCTGGTATTGCTTACAGAAACTGCCTCTTATTACATTCTTGGCAGGACTAGACTTCCTGTCTCAGGAACTTCTCTGGAGTTTTTCCCCCCTCCTTTGCTGGTACTTTGTTTGTGTGGAGTGACCATTCAAAGTTACAATGGCATGAAAAAAGTGACTTATGACCATTTTTCACACTTACGACTGTTGCAGCATCCCACAGTCATGAGAGGCCAGGCGAGGAGATGTGTGCCTTGATGTGAGTGATATTGAGTTGGCCATGCCCAGCCAATAACATGACTACCAAGCCATGCCCACCAACTAAGCCACGAGTTTAATGGTTTCTAAAAGATTAATGGACATAAGCTTGCTGGTCTCTGTTTTTAGTTATTTGGCATTCCTTTTCAATACATTGGCTTTTTTAATGTATCTTTTCACAAGGTGGTTGTTGTTGTTATTGTTTTTGCCAAAATAAGGGTTTCTTACCGTCGGGAAAATATTGCTGTAGATATGGCTGGAATTCTTGGATTCCTCCTGAGGTTCTCTTCCAGAAGGGGTTCCTTCGACATGGCTAGCTTCAAGCAATGCTTTCTTCTTCTTAAAAACCCTGGCAGGAATTCAGTGGGACAACATAAGGTTATTATACATCCATGGAGTCACAGAATGGATGGGACCTAGGAAATAATTTAATTCAAGGTTTCCCAAAGTGATCCACACTACTTTAACTAATGGTTCTATAGAAGTTATTGCTATATTTTTGTATAATTATTACATGATGAGGATGAGGAGATTTGGGGGCTAATGCGCAATTAGAAACTTCATCAAGGGGTTGATGAACTAAAGAGTTTAAGGACCCCTATCTAGCCCAACCTCTATTACTAGAGTAAATCCACTGCTACAGCAAAATTTATTCCAGAGTAAGAAACCACCAGCTTCTTCATTTTTCCTCCTAAAGCTGATTTCTTAATCCTTAACTTTTTGCTCGTGTCAATTCCCTAATCAGTTTACATCCATCATTTTTTCTGTCTCTGTCTCTTATTAATGATGCATTTCCTTCCCACAACAATGCAACACTCCATTTATTTGAAATCACAATTGTATTGAGCTATGGGCTTGTGTCTTTGCACACGCTATATAAACACTAAGGATTCAGACAGTGGGATGGATCCAGAGGTGGTATTCAGCCGGTTCTGACCAGTTTTGCAGAACCGGTAATGGAAATTTTAGTAGTTCGGAGAACCGGTAAATCCCACCACTCACTGGCCCCGCCCCCATCTATTCTCTGCCTCCCATTTAGTCTCAGCTAATTGGTTGTATTTTGTTCTCCTGCACAGGAAAACAGAGCTGGAAAACAGGTTAGTGGGGGGGGAGGGGGGAGGGAATAGGGATTTTGCAGTATCCTTCCCCTGCCAGGCCTACCAAGCCATGCCCACCCAGCCACACCCGCAGAACCGGTAGTAAGAAAATTTGAATCCCACCACTGGGTGAATCATACTTTGGCTCTTCGCAAATATAACAATGACAGGTGGGTAGTTTGGGTTGAACTTCTGGAGTCAAGCAGAATGTTTTCTGCACTATTATATTCTACTTGGGAGTAACATAGTGATAGTAACAAAAGAGAAACAATTTGTGTTCAAACAAATTGCTGCACCTTTATCCTGTATTCCTCTAACACTAGAGAAGCTGCTGCGTACTTTGAGATGGATCCAAATTTTAGTCCTGTCTAAAGTAGACCTATTAAAATTAGTGTCATTTATTTTACTGACTCTACACTATTTCATGCTTGAAAAATTGTGGACAATTTAATGTGGCTTATTAAAGCAGCTGTGTGACAAAGCCTGAAAAAGTGGCTGCTTTAAAGAGATGCTGTACCAATTCTGCTGCATGTACTGAAGCACCTCATTTGAAACATTGTTAAGCATACAATCATCATCTCCTTTTAATGACCCCATAATCCCTTGTGGGGTGGAATCTGGGCAACTGAATGGAGCTGAGTGTTTACTGGCCGGATGCCCTTCCTGTCACCAATGAGGAGTTTTGTTCAGCAGATATATTCTCATTCTGCCCAGAGAGAGAAATATCTGATCCTACCTAGGATCGAACTCACAGCCTCCTGATCGTGATGTGAGAGGTTCACCTCTAGGCCACCACACCATTCATTTTCAAGCAAACAATAAACACACATATATATTGCCACACATTCTCTATCTTCCCTACTTCCATTTCCCTGTCATCTTTTGCAGTCATATATCCCATAAAGAATGATAATTATAATTAGTATGTTGGCCCAATTCTTCATTGGTGTTGATGACAGAACAATTAACAAATTGTTCAGCATTGCAACTACTGAAATCTATCAGATCTGGAACATAACAATTGTCAACATTTAATGAAGCTTCTGAATTTCACCATCTACGTATTGAAACCCTAGAACGTGGAAAGGTAGGGCCTGGGCAGGATCTGTAAAATCTGCAAATGGCTGGCTGTAATTCACGTATAGTGAGACTGATAGATTTACGCTAGTTATTGTTCAGAGTGTGATCTTATCAATCCTGCCAAAACATAAAGTCCTGGACAGAAACTCACCTGATCAGGAATAAACACAACATGAGGATTCCAGCTCCCAGAAAAATTCCACATATTCCAGCAATGAACAGAGATCTTTCTGTAACAAGAAACCAAAACTGTTGAAGAAAATCAATTCTGGGGAATTAGGAAACCTGATTCTTCTGGTAACAAGTTGGTAAGAGATTTTAGGACGTTAGGAAGTCTAGTTCCATAAGTGGTATTCAGCAGGTTCTGACCAGTTCTGGAGAACCGGTAGCAGAAATTTTGTGTAGTTCGGAGAACTGGCAAACATCTGACTGGCCCCGCCAACCCCATCTATTCTCTTCCTCCCAAGTCCCAGCTGATTGGCTGGGTCTCCTTTGGTTGCACTGCACAGGAGAATGGAGCTGGAAAGCAGGTTAGTGGGGTGGGGAGGGAAGGGGGATTTTGCAGTATATCCTTCCCCTGCCACGCCCACCAAGCCACACCACGCCCACCAAGCCACGCCCACAGAAATGGTAGTAAAAAAATTTGAATCCCACTACTGCCTTGAAGGAAACGGATAAGAATCATTATATCAGTGGGTAGTCCTTGTTTTAGAACCATCCATTCAGGGACCTTTCCAAGTGACACTGGCACTGAAAAAAAAGGTGACTTACAAGTGATCCTTACAACCACCATGGCTTCCCCCACAACCACAGAATCAAAATTGGGGCACTTGGCAACTGTCCTGTGTTTAGGACAACTGCAACATATCAATGTCATGTGTTTGCCATACGTGATCTTCCCAGCTGGCTTCTGATAAGCAAAATCAAAATGGGAAGAGGGAGCCAGTTTGGCTTAACGACTATGTGATTCACTTAATGACCACAGTGATTTGCTTAACAACCGTTGCCCCCACCCCAAAAAAAAGCTCGTGAAATTGGCCGTGACTCACCTATGTATGCATAGCAATGGAAATTGTGGTCCCAATTGTTAATTGTAAGTCGAGGGTTATCTGTAACTAAAACCTGCAAGCCTGCAACTACCTCTCCCCTCGTTACATTTACTCTCCCCAAAACCAGAGTCTTTTCTGAGATGTTTTCTCCTTTTCTTCACCCTTCTTCGGGAGTCATAATTCATTTATGAGACCATTAGCAGTAGCAATAGCAATTAGATTCGTATATTGCTCCATAGTGTTTTGTAGCACTCTCTGAGCAATTTACAATGTCAGCCTATGGCCCCCAACAATCTAGCTCCTCATTTTACCGACCTCAGAAGGATGGAAGGCTGAGTCAACCTCGAGCCCATCAGGATCGAACTGCGGGCTATGGGCAGAGTTAGCCTACAATACTGCATTTTCACCACTGTACCACCAGGGTTCTTATTGTCTAGGCTATGGGTTTTTCCTTCTACTTTTCAAGGTAATTCCCACATATCCTTACACCAGTGGTGGTATTCTACTCTTTCGGCTCGGTTCTGCCGAGCCAGTAGCAGCGATGAGCAGCAGAGACCATTCTGGTTCTCTCCAACACTCTGCTGTTGGGACCACCCGCCCACCCGGGCTCCGATACTCACCTCTTATGTCCTGCTTTTGAAGCACAGCTGCTTTGCGCGGCACGGTAATTGCCACGCGGCAGCTGCTGAAGCGTCAGGGAGAGTGACTCAAAATGCCTCCACGCCTGCGCCAAGTGTGCGCCCACCAAGCCACGCCTACTGAACCAGTGGTAAACATATTTGAAACACACCACTGCCTTACACGTACCTAGTGGAGTTCCTTACCTATGGAAGACTCTGGAGTTGGGTGTTGCTTGGCATCCAAAAGGAATTGTATGCTTTGGATTCCATAAGAATTGTTCCCCATGCAGATAATATTATGAGCTCTATCCAGGCTGCCCGTCCACTTTAAGGTACTGGTGACCTCATTCTCCTGGACTAGTGCTTGGACTGTCAGGTTTTCTCTCTTCCTTCTCTCCTCAGTTATCCTTTCCCCATCCACCTCCCACTCGATCTGGGGAGCGGGTTTAGCATGCAAGGTACAAACACACAGGAAACCATTCTCATGATAAGAGCAGGTTGTATTTTTCTGGGGGCTTCTGCTGAGCTTTGGGGCATCTGGAAAAGAGCAAAAGAGCCATGGAGTCAATGGTGGGATGCTCGCGGTGTAACAACCAGTTCACTAATTGTGCGCTTCACGCGTGTGCGTGCACATGGGCAGCATACAAAACTATTTCCCTTCAATGTTACTTTGAGGAAGTAACACAGCTGAAGTGTGGTAATCCCTTCTGCCACGCAGATCAGATGAGCAGATATAATAGGTGAGTACGGCAAAGGGGCGGGCAGGCAAGCCCACACGATCGCCGGAGCGAACCGATTCGGAGCCCGCCAATCATCGGAGCTAGGGGTTGGTTCACCCAAACTGGTCCAACCCGACAGAATCCCACCCCTGCATGTAGTTCCAACATTAGGACTTTGGGGCAGATGTGCAACACTTTAGCATCTCTGCATGAAAAGGAAAACGGTGACATGGTTTTTCCAAACGTAGGACTGTCATAGTGACAAAAGTATTACTGATAATAAGTCTCACTATCCTATAACAGGCCTTCAACCCTCATTTGACCTCCCTCATAATGAACATCCTACTTGGCTTGTCGTAACAAGGAATCTCTCTTCAATTCTCTCTCTCTCTTCAGCCCAACTGAACCTTGGCTCGTTTTCTACCAAGGATGAGGAATGTCCTCTAGCTCAAGCAGTCAACAGCATTAATAGCTTCCCTCTAGATTAGAAGGAAGTGTCTTCTAGAGGATTATGGTTCACTCACATGTTACAAATAGCTGGAAGGTCCTCTGAATACTGCCAAACATGTTTGTAGCTTTGCACACATAGGCACCTTCATCTGCAATTGTCAGATTGGTCAGTCTCAATTGGTTATCTAGAGGCTTCTGCAAGGGGCTGTCCCCTTTCACCCAACTAGTTGCAGCTGGAGGATTGCTATCTGCTTTGCAGAACACCTCCAATGAGTCACCTTCTTGGGCTGTCAACTCAGAGTCACTGGCCAGCTCCTTGGAACAACCTGGAACCAGAGCAAAGCATCCATCATTCCCATGAAAGAGCCTTGGTCAAGCAAGCCAGTGGCTCAGAAAAGAGAGAAATCCTGCTCATAGTTGCATCCTTAAGTACCTTGAGTGAGTATGGAGCCTCTCCTGTGAGTTTGGGAGATGTTGAAAACCGGCATCTTTGGATGATCTGGGGGGGTGGGGGAAAAACATATCAAACTTCATAAGAGAAAAGCTTTTGTGGAGAAGAAGGGCAAGGTCTCTGGCCTGTAAGACAGAGCATCTTAAAAATTGCTTCAGAGCAGTGGTGGGATTCAACATTTTTTATTACCAGTTAAGTGGGTGTGACATGGTGGGCGTGGTCCCCATTCCCTCCCCACCCCACTGACCTGCTTTCCAGCTCCATTCTGCTGTGCAGGGCAACCAAAGAAGACCCAGCTAATCAGCTGGGACTCGATGAGAGGCAGAGAATAGATGGGGTTGGCAGGGCCAGTCAGAGGTGGTATTGGCCGATTCTCTGAACTACCCAAAATGTCTGCTATCGGTTCTCCAGAACTGGTCAGAACCTGCTGAATACCACCTCTGCTTCAGAGCTTATGGTCAGTAAATGACAAGTGTGATGAACAAAGGATCTCACTTTCTCTCACCAAAGAGTGAAGAGCCAAAATTTCATGGCTTTTCTAAAGAACTCCAGAATGAGGAGTCGGGAGTTTCAAAATAAAGGATCCAAGCTGTGTGAATTCTGTATTCTTCTTCACAGGAGTCTAGAAGAATTGGCCATGGCCACTTGGTTGCAGACACTTCAGCAGGATGGCAGGGCCATGGTGAGTCAGCTGGGATTGGGGGGGGGGGGCAGTGAAGTGGCCACAACAATGTGGCCGTGGCCACTTGTCCCGTTCCATCCACCCAGCGCCCTGACCATAAAATAGCCATTTCTGGGTTACTGACTATATTTCCTGCATCCTTCATTGTACGCATTTCCTGAATGGGATACCATGTATTCCTTTCATATCGTTATTTGCATCGTTGTTTGCAGGAGGGAAGTGAGGAAAGAGAACGAAGTAGAATAATTTCTAATTTAAACTTCTTTTTGGCATTCTGAGAATCTAGATTTCTTTTTTCCCCTCTTTTTTTAGGAGTAAAAAAGGGGGCAACTCATAGAGGAAACAAGCCTGTATCAGATTTTGTATTCTAACAGCAATTCTAGAAATGCATCTGCACAACCCATAGCATTTCAATACAAATTATAATGAGGAAGAAATTCTTATCTGTTTTTTTTTTTGTGAGGGAATAATCTTCATTTTTCCCTTGAGGCAGCCTTTTATAATCTTTTATCTCTTCCCCACCCACACAATCCTTTGGGTTATAATTTCCATCGTCCCCAGCCTTCAAGAAGGAATAGAATAGATCGGTATAGATGTCTTTCCAAAGCAAAGCTGAAAGAAAAGGGTTTGAAGCAGCAGATCAAAGAAAAAAGTATTGTGTGAATAGGTCCAGCTTTCCTTGCTCAACTTTTATTTTAGGAAATAAGACACCACACCCGTCTTCCTTTCCTCATTTTAGACAGTCGTAACTTCCCCTCAAAAGTGCGTAGCCTGTTCTTTTGTGGTAAAAGGGAGACGCAACTGGAATGTTTTTAAGAAAGGAAAAGTAGAGTTTTAGCACCGAGCTTGGGACCCCGCTTTCTCTGGCAACCACTCAGGCCACCACAGGTGCTCCTGACCTGAGTGATGTTGAGATGGCCATGCCCACCCCGGACTCCCGAGGTCAAACACAACCCTGATGCGGCCCTCAATGAAATCGAGTTTGACACCCTGACCTAGATGAACTCATATCCACACACATTTGTGGAGACCTCCATTAACGGAAGATTCACCTGGGTAAGGATGTATGAAATGGGAATGTTTCAGAAGTGGTATTCAGCAGGTTCTGACCAGTTCTGGAGAACCGGTAGCGGAAATTTTGAGTAGTTCGGAGAACCGGCAATACCGCCTCTGACTGGCCCCGCCCCCATCTCTTCTCTGCCTCCCATTGAATCCCAGCTGAACACCTGGGTCATGCACAGGAGAACGGAGCTGGGAAGCAGGTGAGTGAAGGGGGGAAGGAATGGAGATTTTGCAATATCCTTCCCCTGCCACGCCTAGCCAGTCACGCCCACCAAACCACACCCACAGAACCAGTAGTAAAAAAGAAACTTGAATCCCACCACTGGAATTTTTGCTGGATCACTGTAAATCAAACTATAGTGGATGAGTATTTTCAGCTACACAACCCAACAACAAGTAAATCTTACACTGGACAATCACTTCAACCATCGTCTTGAGTGATCCGTACTGATTATTTGCCACGCATTGATATTTTCCAGCATCCTCTGGTCTAATTTGATGCAGCTGAAGGTGACCTGTGGGTTCACCAATTTTCTGGTCCTCCTTCATCCAGGATAGATTGGGAGATGGTCTACCATCAGCAGTGCAGGTCAGGATGATACTGTTTCCTTCCTTGACTATTACATGGTTGACTTCCTCTTTCCTTTCTGGTAAGCCTGCAAGCATTTAGGAGCACTGGTTAAGGAACTACCCAAAACTGAAAATTGGAAGCCACCTCCCCAGATTTGGCCTAATTTCAAAAAACCAAGATAGCTGAATATTTGGTTGTTTGGTTTCACTCATGAAATATATAATGCAATGACCTTGTAAAAGGGGGAGAAGAGATGCTGCTTATGGAACAATCAGATAAAAGGGGAGAACATGTCAAGCTTGCAAAAACATTTGGGAACAAAGCAGAGAATCAACCCCCTGTACGGTGCTTGAAAGGCTCCATGATTTGAAATCTCACCGGGTTGTGTCAAGTCTGGGATGCCCACTGTGATACTGACTTTCTGGGGCAGTTCTGAAACACAAGAAGGGGAAAAGTGAAAGTTCCAAGAAGGTACATAGGGTCATCAAGCTCAAGGAAGACAGAGTCGGTTGAAAAGCTAGAAAAAGAAAGAGTCAACAGAAATATGCATTTTCTTCTCTGGGCAATGCTTTGGGAGAGGTTTTTGCCATTTCTACCATCATAATGTTTTGTCAATTTGCTAATCTAAACCCTGGGATTATTATTTTTTTTACTGGTCTCCCAACCCAGTGCCAAACACCTTCAACCCTTAGCTGTCTGAAATCAGTTAAGGTTCAGCTAGAGGAGACATGGGATGGGGGCTGTAATCCAGAATATCTGGAAGGTACCAGATAACACATCTCTCCTTTAAAGGAGTCTCCAACCCTGGCAACTTTAAGATCTGTGGACTTCAACTCCCAGAATTCCCCAGCCAAATGGCTGGGGACTTCTGGGAGTTGAAGTCCACAGGTCTTAAAGTTGCCAGGGTTGAGATCCCTTCTTTAAAAGCACCAAAAGAGGCCTCAACAACAGGTTATGGTTTGGTTCTTAATGTTGGCAGGAATATAATCTAATTTATTTCCTCTGCTGAGTCAACATTGGAAGATGAAACGAGAGGAAGCCATTCTTTGCTCATCAATGTAGTTGCAGGCCTCAAAGGAGTGGAGGGGTGGAAGAAGGAAGTCAAAAAAAGGCAAAATGGCGGGTACTGGAGGTGACTGATGGCTCAGCTTTTTATAACATGCAATGCACTTTAAAATGAGGTGAGGCTTCAATTATGCAGTCACAGTGGCTATCTTGGGTTTTTTCACCCATACCTCCAAATAGCTATTTCCTCGATCTTTTCTGATCTCTTCACTGTATAAAAAAGTAGAAAACTACTTACCTATCACATGAACATAAGGTGAAGTATGCCCACTTTCTTGGATAAAAGAAAATTTTAAGTCCCATTTCCCCTCAATTCTCAAGTAGTATTGCCCTTCATCTTCTATGCGAGCATTCCTGATGACCAGCGAGCAACTTCCTTTCATTGGATCTCCAGATAAATAGAAGCGATCCTTGGCCGAACGTTCGACTATCTGGTTTTGGTCATTGGTAGCTACAGGCAAGCAGTTTTGATTCAATGGTGGAGAACAGGGATAACGTTGTGGCGAACGCTTAATCCAATAAGCCAATACTTTCTCATTCCATGCCAGGTCTCTCTGGTTATAAGTGAACTGGCATGGAATATAAACAGTGAAACCACGCTGCACAGAGACAGAAGGTGACATGGTAATAGTATACGTCTGCCCTGCTTGACTTCTGATTCCTGATCCAAGAAAAACAAAACAAAATTAGTTTGGATACAGACAAAACCTAAATGAAAACATGGGGGGGAGGGGAACTTTAATGTTTCTTGCAGAACCAGCTCATAAAATGGAGAACATCACAAGTTGTCAAACCACCTAAAAGATGAGGCCATGTATCCAGTGGTGGGATTCAAAAATTTTTACTACCAGTTCTGTGGGCGTGGCATGGTGGGCATGGCAGGGGAAGGATTCTGTAAAAACCTTTATTCCCTCCCCACTCCTAAGGGAAGGTTACCACAAAATCCCATTCCCTCCCCACCCCACTAACCTGCTTTCCAGCTCCATTCTCCTATGCAGGGGAACCAAAGAAGACCCAGCCGATCAGCTGGGACTCGATGGGAGATGGAGAATAGATGGGGGCAGGGGCAGTCAAGAGGTGGGATTTGCCGAGTCTCCAAACTATTCAAAACTTCCCCTACCGGTTCTCCAGAACTGGTCAGAACCTGCTGAATATACCACCTCTGGATGTATCCACTGTGCACCCTCTCCACCATAATAGTAGGCTCAAAAGATTGAAAGAGAAGGTGTCATTCAGCAATTTAGGGTTCTCTATGTTGTGGCATTATCTGGCTATATTGGTGAACAATATATTGGTGAATGTGCTAAGCCATTGTGTAGTTTTGGTGGTTTGGGAATTGTAGGTAACAAAAACGCAGCAATTGTCTATTATTAATCCAGGTTTAGTTTTTGCCATGTTATGCCCGATACAGCCCACATATCCAAGACAATAATAGCAATAGCTCTTATACTTCTATACCATTTCACAATGCTTTACAGCCCTCTCTAAGCAGTTTACAGGACAGGCAGAATAGTCAGCATATTGCCCACAACAATCTGGGTCCTCATTTTACCGACCTCAGAAGGATGGAAGGCTGAGTTAATCTTCAGCCAGTCAGAATCGAACTCCTGACTGTGGGCAGAGTCAGTCTGCAACATTGCATTCTAACCACTGTGCCACCATGCAGTATAAATAATAGATATAAGTCCACAGTGAAATGATTCCCTGTGGTTTAAGAAAATGCAAGGAAAAAATAATAATTGGACAATTAAAAGTCAAAATTTATAATTCACTCATAAAAAGTGAATTTTGCCAAATGGTTAAACCAACTCAGTTGGAAAGGACAGACTGAATCAAGAGATGTGTAAAGACCGCAGCCAAAATGCAACCAACGTCCTGTTATTGGAAATTTATCTACGAATTTTCTGGATCTCTCAATACTTTTATTTATAAACCATCTCCTGATCTCCCTCTCTGTGAATAACCAATACAATGTTCCATATCCATGCCCTGGTTACAGTTGAGGTTCTGTCTGCAATATTGCTAGTTTCTCATTCTACCTTATAGCCCTTGTATTCTCTGGAGGTCTCTCACCCAAGTCCTATCCATAGCTGATCTTTCTTAGCTTCTCAAAATAAGCTCCTGTTCAACTTACGCATTTGTAAATAAACCAAATTTCATAGAAATATCACAAGTCCCCAGTATGAAAAAAGAGTGGAGACCACTGCTCCAAAGGAAACTGAAATCAAAATACAGCAACCTTCTGTCCACCAGATATGCTGAACACTGTCACTCCCAATGTCAACTGGGCAATGATTGTAAATTCCACATTTTTTTCTTATTTTACTACAATGCACCTACCTTTGCAGAGAATGGCCAAGATTGCTGCCAAGGAAAGAAACAGTTTCTTTTTCTTACAAGGAAGGAGCCTTATCGAACAAGTGCTGTCATTTTCTGGCATCTTGTTTTATCTTGATATTGATTTGGAAGGATGAGCTCTGTAGTAGGAAGAGAAGCAGTGTGATCTGGTGTGCTTACCAAAAGGGAAAAAAAAATGTTTGCAACTGTCACAGAGATTGCAACTGTCCATCCAAAGTGTTGGAGTGGAAGGTAGAAATTGTTCAATTATCTTAAGCAGACCACCTCCTAACCAGAATGGATTCACCATGCAGGCAGTGGTGGGTTTCAAATAATTTCACCACCGGTTTGCCAAAAATGTGAGTGCGAGGCACGGAGATTAGCTGGGCCACATGGCAAAGGTAAGATATATAGGGTGGGGTGGGACAGAGCAGAGTGAGGTGGACGAGGCTAGCTGGTGGCACGATTTGCTGGTTCTCTGAACTCCGCAGAATCATTACTACCAGTTCAGTAGAACCAGTCCAAACCAGCTGAATACCACCTCTGCATGCAGGGTTACATTAACAGAATTCACCTGAAATATTTTGGCAGTAGGATGGATGAGTTAAGAAGTGGCTCTCTGTCTGATTTCCATCTGAACAATCCCAATAGTTACAATTATTAACCTTGATCATGATTATTATTTGACATTTTTGTCTTTTGACAACAGCCAAGCATGTTCTGCATGATATTTTGGCATGCCTGGATATAAATCTCTGGTCTAGAAAAGAAGTGATATATCCTTTTCTTCTTTTAACTTAAGAAAAGATCTTACTGTAATTTAGTCAGTTAGAAAAGGAGAACACATTTTTATGGGAATTGAAATTACTATTAATTACTTTGAAGTGTTAGCTTAGGGTCAAGGGGAAAAAATTTTCTGAGGTAAAGTAAATAGACAGTGCAGCTTCTGTTTGGTTTCCCATTTCCTCTTAGCCAGATTCTAATACTCTTTAAAACAACAGCCCCAAAGAGGAAGTATAGAGTTGGCTTGATTCAGTTGGTTTGCTTCATCAAAACAAATTCTCAAGTTACTTCCTGAATTAGTTATATACTGCTGCACTGAAAATATCTCTGGCTGTTTTTTCAAGAATCTCTTCCAATTTTATGAAGAAAAAAAAAGAACTACTTTTCCATGTTTTCCATATTCTATGTTTGCTCAAAGGAGTACGCTTGGGTGAACTTCTACTATGTAAGGTACACCATCTTCCACTGACGTTGAGTGGCTGAAAGGTATATGAGTATCTAGTTTGTCATTGTACAGTCTTTTTTTCCAGGGAATGTCTAATGGTACACTTAGAACTGGAGAGAGATTCATATTCTTAAATAAACGCAAAGGTTCCCCTCACACATATGTGTTAGTTGTTTCCAGCTCTAGGGGGCCGGTGCTCATCTCCATTACAAAGCCAAAGAGCCAGCACTGTCCAAAGACGTCTCCGTGGTCATGTGGTCAGCATGACTAAACACCGAAGGCACACGGAACGCTGTTCCCTTCCCACCAAAGTGGTCCCTATTTTTCTATTTTTACATGCAGAAGCTGGGACAAGTAATGGGAGTTCACCCCACTATGCGGCGCTAGGGATTCAAACTGCTGAACTGCTGACCTTTCTAATCAACAAGCTCAGCATCTTAGGCACTGAGCCACCACATCGCTTTTCACGTTCTTAGTAGCTGAATTTCCTGTGTAGTAGGTTAGGAGAACTTACTTGTTCATACAGCAGCCATGAGGAATAGATTAAGAACCTGGGAAATGTTGAGTATTAAAAAGGAAAACAATCCAATTGCTGGGACTTCCGTAACTTTATCCTATCCTCTTCTAATAGCCTCTTGGTAAGGAAACTATGAAAGCATCTTCCTTTGAAGGGCAGGGAGCCTTCAAGAACTTCAGTTCTGATCTCTCTTGACCTCCCTGCTAAATCTGAGACAGAGATCAATCAACCAATCAGAATAGAGTTGGAAGGGACCTTGGAGGTCTTCTAGTCCAACCCCCTGCTCAAGCAGGAGACCCTATACTATTTCCGATAGGTGGCTGTTCCAGTCTCGTCTTAAAAACCTCTCCAGAGATGAAATTGGTTGTCCAATGTACGATCTGAAGCTTCATGACAATCTACTGTGCATCAGAGAATTCCCAAAGTCGTTAGAGAAGAACAGAATCTTTGAACTTTCAATAAGTCATTGCAGAAAAACTAGGAAGCCATTAAGAAAGAATTCTAGAATGGCTAGGTATCAAAAGCAAGTCCTATCGGTATATTAGTGGGGGTATAGTAATCATATTTCTATGCCTCTTTCTCCACCTTGAGCTGTGTAGTAGCTTGAACAGACTCCCTTTTGGGTGTAAAATCTAATTACCTTCTGTCCTTCATGTTAGCAATGGATTATGTTGATGGTTGGTTGCTTTCCTCTTAATGTAGGAGAACTAACTTTGACATGTCCAAAAGGAAGAAGAAATTCTTCCTGTGGATTTCTTGTGCCCTTATCTCAGTTACAAGGTGACAGAGACCTGTGTGAATATTGTTTCATTTTGTAGCTAGGCTTCAGACTGAACCATGCACTTTGGTTCAGTCCCCAAGGAAGAACTCACAAAGGAATTTCTCCATGGACCATTTTCAGATTAGGAAGACAAAATAGCCAGAAAACGTCCGTAGTGAAGACACAGATAATAGAATGCGGCAATATTTGCATGCTCTTTAGCTTTAAAACAGTAAAACACCAGAAAAAATAACTCATTGAAGACAAAACAAAACATTGAAAGCATCCTTTGATCAATATAGAAGAATCAAAGACTCTTTGCATGGTGAAGGAAAACATTAGAGGAATGAGAATAAAATAGAATAAGAATAAGAATAAGAATAGAATAGAATAGAATAGAATAAGAATAGAGTAGAATAAGAATAAGAATAGAACAGAATTTGCCTTTGGTGCATATGCTCTCAGTGTACATAAAGAAAAAATAAAAATACATTTATCAAGAATCATGATACAACATTTAGTGATAGTCATAGGATACTAAATAAGCAATCTAATCATACCAGAAAACAAATAAAACAATATAAATTGAAAAGATACAAGAAACACGGTTATAATCATAAGTGGGAAGAGATGGGTATTAGGAAGGATGAGAAAAATAATAGTAATGCAGACTTAGTAAATAATTTGACAATGTTGAGGGAATTATTTGTTTAGCAGAGTGATGGCATTCAGGAAAAAACTCCCCTTGTGTCTAGTTGTTCTGGTGTGCAGTGCCCAATAGCGTCATTTTGAGGGTAGAAGTTGAAACAATTTATGTCCAGGATGTGAGGGGTCTAGATATTTTCACAGCCCCTTTTTTGACAATTGCCACAACCATATTATTTTAATGCATGACCCTATGGTTCAGCAATCCCGACTTCTAGTTCAAAGTGGAGTTAACGTCCAAATTTAGTTCTGGTTTACTAAAAGAAAGCTTCAGAAACCCAGTTTTGAGAGACAGTTTGGTGTAGTGGTTTAAGGCATCAGGCCAGAAACTGAACAACTGTCAGTTCTTCTAGATCTGCCTTAACCACAAAGGCAAGTAACTTTCTCTCCATTCTGGAAAAAAGGAAAGGACAAACCACTTCTGAAAAATCTTGTCAAGAAAACTACAGGGGCTAGTGCAAGCAGTCACCAGGAGACAACAGTGACTCAAAAGCTTCCACATGTGTGTGTGCGCGCACGCACACACACACACACACACACACACACACACACACACACACAAACTTTATATAACATCATTATCAGGATTTATGTTCTGAATTATTTTGAGTCAGAAGTTATCGGCATTCGAATGAAAATACATCATGACATCCCTCAGAAAAAGTTACTTAAACTCACAACAAGACTATACCTTGGTTTTTCGTTCCAGATTCTTTCCTTTCTCCGGTGAGATTTTTTTTCTCCCTTATTATGGCTAATTAATCTACTTTCTCTTCCCACCACGACCAGCAGTTACTGAGTCTGCTGTGAGACAAAGACCATAGAGCCGAACTTGTGGGAGACACCAAAGAGATGGTGGCGTGCAGAAAAAGGAGAAGTGTGTGAAAATCGTGTGTGCAAGGGGAGGGATATGATATTTTCCTCAATTACAACATGCCCTCCGAGGTCGTTTGGGAGCAAATGGTGAGACAAAATTTCTGTCACATCTTTTATTTTTATTTTATTTATTTATTTATAGCCTGCCTTTATTATTTTTATAAATAACTCAGGGTGGTGATCACCCATAATATTCCTTCCTCCTCCTGTTTTTCCCACAAGAACAACTCTGTGAGCGTTTGGGCTGAAAGAGAGTGACTGGTCCGAGGTCACCCAGCAAAGAAAAATGAAACAATGCTAAAATTAACCAGCTTAGCATGTTGTACAAATGAGCCGTGAGAGACTTGGATGGAAACTAACCAAGGAGAGAAGCAACCTAGCACTAAGGAGATATTTCCTGACAGAACAATTAATCAGTGGGATAAATTGCCTTCAGAAGTTGTGGATGTTCCAACACTGAAGGCTTTTAAGAAGAGATTGGACAACCATTTGTCTGAAATAGTATATGATTTCCTGCTTAAGCAAGAGGTTGGATAAGAGACCTCCAAGGTCCCTTCCAATTCTGTTAAATTTCTTGACTTGTTACAGGTATGGACACTGCGCCTAAAGATGGGGGACAAAGTTCTCTCAAGTTAACTTTCATAACTACAACAGTTCCACGGGAAATCATACACTGCCAGAAGATTTGTGCGCACTCTCCATGGAGCTACCTGAGCACACAAGGGAGTTTACTCCGAGTTACACCAGTTATCCAAGCGCACTAAATTTAGTTATGTGAGCATTTTCTGCCCACCAGGGTTCAGGAACTGTGGCACAAGGGGAAATAAAGTCTTGTACTGCAGTGTATTTCTGCTACCAGAGAATTGCTTAACTATTCAATATGCATGCAGGGGGTTTCCAGAGAAGAGACACATACAGTAATTCTATTTTGACATGCCACTTGGTCTATTCCTCTCAGAGATGCTCTTAGTGCAACATTACGACAAAGAATATAAAATGGCTGACTAGACACAGATTTTTCTTTTTCATTAACATGGGTAAGAAATAACTGGCATCAGGCTTTTTATCCCCTCCCCTGGGAGAATAAGACAGAAGAAAGCGGAAACCGTGCTACGGAAGACTGAATTCTTAGTTCTTGAAAATATTTAAGAAGAAGGGAACTCCTAGGAAGAGGTTAGTGCAGTGATGCTGAAAACGAAAAGCAGTCTGTGCATGGGGGTACTCGCGGCTATTCGAATGAATGTTCTCCTTCCGTGTTGTGGAGGGAGATAACAAGGTTTGTCAGGTGGAACACAAAGTCTTTGAGTTCAGATGATGGTTTGTTCTTGGCACTTGAGAATCACCTTGTGTCAATTTGCTTTTGAAATACAGGTCTGATGTTTAGTTGTTCAACAGCATGAGAGGTCTGGAGATACATACACTTGTCGTATCTTATAATAATTGCAACAATGAGCTATGACTTACCACTTGGTTGCTTGTATGCACAGTGGGAGCTTATGCACCAGAGACAAATTCCTTGTGTATCCAATCACATGTGGCCAATAAAGAATTAATTTTATCTATCTATCTATCTATCTATCTATCTATCTATCTATCTATCTATCTATCTATCTATCTATTTATCTTTCTATCTGTCCATCCATCCATCTATCCATCCATCTTTTATTTACCAATCCTGTCTCTATCATCTATCTGTTTATCATCTATCTATCTATCTATCTATCTATCTATCTATCTATCTACTTCTATCATTTATCTATCGATTCTATCTCTATCATCTGTCTGTTTGACTGTCTAGCGATTTATCATGAACTATGAGGACACGTCACCCCATCCCAGAATAAAGCATCATGGCAAGGCAGAGGCTAACATTTATTTATTTAGAGAATGTATGTGGCTGCAACTCACTCACAGAGACTCCAGGCGGCTTACAAAAATAAAAACACAGCACAAGGGACAATAAATCAGGGATGGGATTTGAATTTTGTAACAACCGGTTCTGTGGGTGTGGCTAGGTGGGCGTGACAATGTGACTGGGCAGGCATGGCTTTTTGACAGCAACCCCTCAATTCCCCCCCCCCATTTTTTTGGACCTTCTGGACCTCAGGGAAGCCTTCTGGGAGGGCGTTTTTTCTCCCAGAAAGCTTTCCTGGGGCTCAGGAAGAAGAGAAACGAAGCATGGGGGGGCTCGCAGCACCACCACCCAGTCCTCCATTTTGGGGCCTTCCTGGGCCTCAGGGAAGCCTCCTGGGCAAAGCAGTAAGCGAGGGGAATCCCAGCACAGCTGATCATAGGATGGTCGGGAGGGGGGAAAAAAGAAATACCTTAAGGACTGACTGGGTGGAGAGGGGAGGGGCGGGTGGAGAGGGACAGGGTCAGCCAGGGGCACAATTTGCCTGTTCTCCGAACTGTGCAGAATCATAACAACCAGTTCTATAGAACCGGTCTGAACCGGTAGAATTCCCCCCCCCCCCCCCATGATAAATGCCCATCCTTCTCTGACAACAATCAAGCCAACCACTTAATGAGCTCCATATCACCCTTGGAGTCCCAAGGCCTGTTGGCCAAACCATGATTTCAAGGCCTTTTGCGAAAAGTAGGGGCCAATCTCATTTCAGCAGGGATGATGTTCCACAAGGGGCAGGACCCACCACTGTCTTCTTGGACCCATATTAATTAACATGGCTGTATTAATTGGCCAGAGAAAAATCAGCTGTAGTGACGTTCTTCCTTTCATCTTCAAAGTATGCCAGATTCCATAGTTTGGAACAAAAGATAGTTTGCCTTGTAGGAGCATCAAAAGGAGACGCGTTCTAATTTCTCCCATCTGTTCTGAGATGACCACTCAGTGCTGAAGCTCAATAGAGAAATTTTCTTGCCTTATTTTTGTTCCCTCCCACCAATTTTTGCTCAGTGAAATGAAAGAGGATTTGTTTCTAAAATTCTATCAAAGAAGAACGGCGCGTTGGAGAAAATTGCAAGTTTGGAGTGTGCCTTACTCTGCCAAGATGTGCCCAAGGGGTATTATGGCTCTCTAACATTTCCTTTAAATCCCGTTTAGGTTGTTCAACAATGGTGCTTCGGTTTTGCCCTTGACAAAGAGCAAAGTTCTTCTTCCTGTGGAAAAACTTTTGCAAAAAGGGAAGAAGAACTGAGCAGTACCACACATTTGCATTGATTGTGACTTGTCTGCCTCTTGAGTGTCTTTGTGGCACATATGGGAAAATCCATTTTTATTTCCCCAGCTGCCATTTTGCAAGCGTTGGCCTTTGAGAGAATGACTCCTCTAAGTCATCCATTGGAGAGTGTGTGTGTGTGTGTGTGTGTGTTTGTGTGTGTGTGTGTGAAGTAATTTCTGATATTGCAGGTAGGCCTCGAGTTATAGTCCTTTATAGTCCTTTAGCGACCATCTGGAATTTCAACAGCACTGAAAAAAGTGACTTATGACTGGTCTTCGCTTTTACGACTGCTGCAGCATTCCCACAGTCACATGATCAAAATTCAGGCACTTGGCAATCAACAAGCTTTTACAACAGTTGAAGAGTTGTAGGGTTGTGTGAGCACCATTTGTGACCTTCCCAGGCAACCTTTGACAAGCAAAGACAGTGGGTGAAGTTGGAATTATTTAATAACTGAATTATTCACTCAACTGTGGCAAAAAGGGTCACAAATTCATTTAACAACTGCCTTGCTTACCAACGGAGATTCTAATCCATATTATGGTCATAAGTGGAGGACTATCTGTATTATCTCGCAGTTATAACATGCAAGGACAATAACATGATTAAAAGCAGGGTAGAATCCTACAAAACACATACAATAAAAATGGTAATCAAAGCCGCTACTTTTTTTTTTTTTTGGTAATCAAAGCCGCTTTTTTTTTCCTAAATCCCATTTCACAATCCAGTCTAATTATGCTGGAGACATGATTTTGTTTTCACTCGTTCAGAAAAGTGGAAGGAAGGGACTAAGTTGGCACCATTTATGAAGCTTTATGAACATCTGTGATGACCCAGGCTGTGGCACAAAGGCAATACAGTCAAATAATAAGTAGGAGTCCCTTTATTTGCTTCAACTTTGCCCCCAACGTCCTGGTTACCTTCTGGGCTGGAGAAAAACTCTCCCAGGAATAGCCTTTGGCTACAGAGATTAGAGTCCAAAATGTGGTCAACAAAAACTGTAAACTATAAGTCTAATCAAGGCAAGATGAGGTAATTAGTCCGGCAGGGCAACAGAAGGAGTTTCAGACATGAAGGAACGGCAGTAATTCAACCCAGTTGTGAGGATGCCCGGAACACAGATAAGCAAAATCAACCCAAGATAAGCTCACGTTTGTTCCCAGCAGACACCACACTCAGCTTGCATCTCTCCTAAACTTTCTTCCCAGGTGTGCCTAATGAAGGGAATCAGGGCCCTTTCCTCCCCCGTAAGCCACACAACCCACATTGCTCTCTTCTCTGTTCCTCCCTGCGTGCCCTAGGATGAAGACGGGGTGGGCCTAGGTATTCCTCTGAACTCCCTCTCTCTTGTTCTACCTCTTCCCTGCTCTGCCCAGCCGGGCTTTGCCCTTCCCCAGTTTCCTCCACAGGCAACGGAGCCACACTTCCACTCCCTGTCAGCTGTTTGTCTTCCTCCTCCGATTCAGACTCCGACAGGGAGTCACATCAGACCTGTGAAGTCCAAGAGTCTTCAAAGCAAATTCTTTGTGTTTCCTCACTTGCTGCTGCAGCTTAGTTTCTTCTTCTGCAGCAGAAGGATATCTGGAAATGGAGGATATCTTAAAATGTCAGAGACTGACCGAACCTTCAGAATTCTGTACTGTGCAATTCAATTTAGCAATTCCATAAAGCAGGAGTTGACAAGTTCCATCTGAAGATCCAACTTGATCAACCAAAACCTTGTGTTCATTGACTAAGGAACTTTAAAGGAAATTCTTGCTGTTTAAGATCTGTGATCTTGACTACCCGGTGGGGAAACACAATGGGGGACACAAACATACTCTAGGTGTGTGTGTTGAAATGGGAAGAGAGGATTGAAAATAGATGGAAGAGTCTGGGCAGCCTTTGGAGGGACATGGTTCACTTTTCCCACTACAAGAATACAACACCCTCTGTGGTTTTTCTGGAGCCAGTTCAATCCAGGAAAAATTCTGTCCTAAAAGGGAAGCAGATGATAACATGTTGCTGTCCCCAAAACTGGGTTCTTGCTTGGTGTCGAAGCTGATTAAGTCACCGGATACAATGTGTGGGACAAAATCATGCTTTTATTTTGGTACCAAGATATCAGGATATAATCTCAAAAGCTAACCAAGGGCCTCCATGAGAATCTTACAGCAATTTTTATACAACCTTTGCCCTTCCCCTAATAATAACGCATGCATAAGAGATAACATTGATTGGTTATTTGGATCTCAGCCCCCTACATAGCTAAATGTCGCATCACCTGTGTTTCACCCCAGGTCATGGGTATCTTGCAAAGTGTCCTAGTTTCATGTGCCAGCTATGTGATTTTGGGTTTTTTTTCTTATAAGCCAGCCATTCTTGTTCCTAATATCCTGGCTAGTGGTTTAAGGTGCTAACTTCTGCCCTGCTAAGAATGTGCAGTTCCAACCTCTTTGCTATTGCAGAACAGCTCAAGGTAGTATCCCCATCCCCCCCACACACCCCTTTCTGCAGAGAAAAGTAATAGCAATTTTAAATCTTTGTCTGAGACAGCATCCCCCATGACCCCCCCCGCTCCTTCTGTAAAGAGGGGCAGGAAGGAGCAAGGCTGCTTAAGGCACAGAAATGAAGACAAGAGAAAATGTTTTTAATCATAATTCATATTCCTCACTCTCACATCCATTCCATCCATACCCGGGTCCTATCTCCACATATCAGACCCTTCCTCCGATCCCCGGGGCCTCCTCTGCACATACATTCCATCCCCTGATCCTTCAACATCTATGGAGATTCTCAGTCATCCAGGCCCTGGTTGTCCCAAAGGTGCTTTTTCAAGAGGTGGCTGAGCTGATGAAGCTTCTTGGATGAGAAGCAAAACGTCTTCAAAGAAAAAAGTTGCCCCTTGAAAAAAGCACCTTTGGGACTGACTGAGGTAGATCTTTGTTATGTAGAATAGACTGGCCCAGGCCTAAAGGCAGGGGGGCTGAGTTTCTACTTCTGTTTTAGGGGAAATATTCTGCTCTTTTTAATATATCCTGAAGTATTTCATTTTCCTAGGAGAGGAGTGGGTTTTAACTTCCAACACAAGTCAGGATTTCCATTAAAAAAACTTTAATGGGGACTCCTTCAGGAAGGGAAAAATTGAAATCCAGATTTAATACACGCTCCTCCAACTATGTAACTCAATTAACAGTCATAATGAAAATTCCATTAACAGTTTTAATGTGTGTAGCAAGTTCTTAGTTGCATGGGTGTATATACACACAGGCACACATGCAAAACATTAAATCCACAATTTTCGGAAGAAAATTAGACTGACACAAAAGGGCACTGAAAACGCCTTTGCATCAAGCCCCGCCCAGCTGAGGTGAGGGCATAGATCTATGGCGTACGCTTCCGTCACAAGTTATCCTGACGTCACCGCAACGGCAAGAATAGAGGCAGAGTTGCTTTGGCAACCTAGTCACACACTCGCCCTCCTCTGCTTCTGCGGAAAGAAAAGTTGGTTCCACTCTGGGATTGGTTATTATGAGCTGTCCCTCAAAACCTAATCGCCTCTCCATAATCGGAAGGCGGAGTTAAGATTGCATTCCAGGGGGCGGGACTATTCCATAGTCCTTTGTGAGCCTTGTGACAGAATGAATAGAGAAGAAAGATCCTCTTATGAATCGGAAAAAGGCGGGAATATAGTCCATCTAACCAATTGAGATGAAAAAGAGGCGGGCGTAAACGACCTAATTCCCCAAATCTCTTTGTGGGCGGCGCAGTTCTGAAATATCTGTCCAATGAAGAACAAGAAAGCCAATGACAGATAGACAGCTATGCTAAATTAGAAGATCGGAAACGGGGAACTCGTCTAAAAAGAATCCAATCAGCTTCTCACGTAAGACAGAGTGACAACTCGAGGAACCAATGGCCTCTCACCCGCCCCTGCAAGGCAACAGTGAGAACCCCGCGGAGTCTTCAGAAGAGGAGCCGGGAGCTAAGATGGCGGCCGCCGATGGAGATGACTCCCTTTATCCTATCGCTGTATTGATCGATGAGCTGCGGAACGAGGACGTTCAGGTACGCCCCAATTCGGTGGGCGTTCAGCTGTTGCTGAGAGGGGGAAAACCCAGCCGCGAGGGAGAAGATTTCAGGCCCGAAAACCCAACTCCCGGCATGATGACCAATCGGGGACGGTCTTTTATCTGAGAAACCCGGATGGGAGTGCTGAGAAACGGACCCTGATTGGTCGCGAGAGAACACCAAAAGGAAAGGGGGTGGCTAATGAGAGGGGCCGTATTATCTGTCCCCCACTACCACCTCCTGCGGCAATGCAAGCAGCCGCGCGATTGGTTGGGTCACCCATTTCTTTTTGGGGGGGGCGGGGGTGGTGGAAGAATGGGAGGCAGGTCGTCTTCTTTTACAAAGCGTACTTGGGGGTTGTGGGGGGGGGGGGAAGAGAGCGGAGGGTTCTGATTGGGTCGTTGCCTAGCTCTATTCAAGCTTCCTAGCCAATCAGTGAAGAGCCTGGGCCAGCCCTTAGGATGGTTTCCTGGTTCTGGCATTTCCTTGCTGGAGATGTTTTAGCCCCCCCCCCCCCCCCCCCGGGTTCCCTCTCCATGAAAGACGGTAAGGGAGGGGCTGTCAATAGAGGATGCCGTGATGGAGGGTAGCCCTTGATGGTTGAGGAAGGGGTGGAGTCTTCCCTCCCCACCCCACTGGCTTCCGGGTGGATGCCCTCCAGGTGTGTGTGGCTCTTCATCTCCCACAATCCTGAGCTTTCTGGGGCGTCTCTGTTTGAGAGAAGGCCGGTCCAGTCATTCTCTTCGCTGTAGATGTTTCAAATCAGAATAGAGGTGGAAGGGACCTTGGAGGTCTTCTAGTCCAACCCCCTGCTCAAGCAGGAGAACTCTAGACCATCTCAGACAAGGGACTGTCCAGGCTCTTCTTTAAAAACCTCCAGTGATGGAGCGCCCACAATTTCTGAAGGCAACTTCTATTCCACCGGTTTCTCTTGTCATCCAGGTCATGGTTATCCCCCAAATAATAAAGGCAGGATACAAAATAAAAAATAAATTTAAAAAAGTAAGCCTTAGCCACTTTGTCTCAAAGGTGCTTTTTTTTCAAGAGACAAAACGTCTTCGAAGAAAAACAGCAGAAAGTCCAGTTGCCTCTTGTAAAAAGCAACTTAGGGACGCTGCT